TATATTCCCTTGCTTACAACTTTCATATTATTCTTTTCTCTCACTTACGGAGATGAACTAGCCTACGACTAAAAATCTCCTAAATAAAGAAGATGATTTTTTTTTCTCTCACTCGCAATTTGTTCGCGCCCGGATCAAGCGGTGATTTTGTCGTTGTTCCTACTACGATAGCTAAATTTATAGAATTTCATATGGTGTCATTGGAATGCATATGGTGTCATTGCTTGAATTCTTTTGCTACAGTTTTTCTAGTGAAGTAGTACTAGTATAAAGGCTGAGCGAGACATATCCTGTTACGAAGCTACTTCAATATATAGAAGCAGATTCATGCCATCTAAAACTCTTTGCAAGCTCCGATCATGCATGGCATGCAAATGTTCGACACCGGACATAGAGACTTTGTGCTAACCAGATACCAAGATTAGGACATCTTTGAATACCGAGGTTAGTCAGTAAAACATAAAGATCTGAATCCAAAATCATGAGTTAAAATCTCACCCGGATAAAGCACGAATGATCTGAGAGTGTGAAAATTACTATAAATAAAAAATACTTTTCTTGAAATTTTGCTAAGCATTCTCAAATTATACTCTTGGAATCCTGTTAAGATTCTATTAAGATTATTTAAAAAAATCATCATTGGAATTTCCTTGCATTTCTCTTCTCAATTCCAATTCTCAATTGAGAATAACATATTTTGACCTTACTTCATATTTTTTATTTATTTATCGTCAATCAGTATAGACCGTTTTACAATAGTTCTGTTGCCTTACATGCTATTTAAATTCAAACGTTTTATTTGAAATTGTCAATAAATGTAAATTACATATACAAATATCTAAGAAATAAAAATTGTTTTAAGCTTACTGTATCTTTAGACATCGTTAGATCTATACGTTCACAATAATTATTATAAACTCTCATCATTCTGTTAATTGGTCCATTTTTACCATAATTCGTTCTGTGAGGTGACATTTGAAATACATTTCGAGTTCTTAACATGCGTGATGGTACGTAAAAATTTAAGCTTGCTAATATTTTTTTCTGAATTTACACGTTGTGAGATAATATCATTAACAAAGGAAATCATGGAAATTTCTCTTCGTTTCTTAAGTGTTTCAATGTTTATCAACATGCAACGGGACTCATAAGAAGGAAGGGGAACAAAGGTCCAGCCTAGTTTCCTAAGAGCAAATAACAAAAACTGTTTTTGAACTGATTCTATACGATTTATATAAGTTTCATGGTATGGAGCCCAACCACGCTGCAATATTCGAGAATTGATCTCACGTAAGCTATATAAAGTGTTTTGATGGTATATGGGTCTTTAAAATGATAACAAAATCTTTTTATAAATCCCAACATATTATTTGTTCTGTGAATTGTGGTATTCACATGATCTACAAATGTCAACTTCGAGTCAAGAATTACTCCTAAGTCCCTAATTTTATCGCACCCTACAACCAACTGGTTTCCTAGAGTACATGTAAAATCTAGAGTAGTGTGTTTTCTGGAATAAGATATAATATTGCATTTTTTTAACATTAATGTCCAACAGACTTTTAACGCACCAATTGTAGAAAACATCAATTTCATTTTGAAAATGTAGCAAATCAGAATTGCTACTTGAATTTCAGAATTGAAAGATTTCCATGTACAGTTTCATATCTTCAGCATATATGAGCACATTTAAACGATTTAACACAAACTTCACGTCATCCACAAATAAAATAAATAATAAAGGACCTAAATGAGATCCCTGTGGAACTCGTCGTCCAAGGAATCGCTTCAGGGACGCCAGAAAGGCATCGGTGCTTAAGTCGGAAACCGTCACACCAAAGTACAACTGTCACACAATTTCCCGGAACTCCATATCCAGGGCAGGTAATACCTTCAGAACTAATCGTGTCAGCAGGAGAGCGGCGCAAAGTTCTTTCCGTGGGATGGAAAGATCGTGAAGAGGGGCCAACTTGGATTTGCTTGTCAGTAGGCGGAGCTTCGCTGAACCATCGTTGAACAGGCTTCGTAGGTAGATGCAGGCCCCGTACGCCACTGTTGCGGCATCGGAGAATCCGTGCAATTCGAACGCGACCACTCCTTGGAAAGTCACGCATCTTGGGATGGCGATGTTGTGCAAATGCGACAACGAAGCTTGAAGTTCTTGCCACTCTTGCGCCGTGTCTTCATCAATCGGATCGTCCCATCCGACCTTGAGCTGCCACAACCGTTGAGCCATTAGTTTTGCCAATATGATGACTGGAGAGACCAGCCCAAGAGGGTCGAAGAATTTGGCTATCTCCGAATACATTACCCTCTTAGTAACACGTTGTTGTAATGGCGGCGGTTGCTTCGGATGGTTTGCAATGTACAGCGTATCGGCATTCGGATCCCAGAGCAAGCCAAGGACCTTGATAGCTTCGTTTACACCACGTTATTGGGAGTTCGAGCACCATTTATGTATCCGAAAGCCTCCACGTCCTAGGAGTTGCTTCAATTGTTGTTGAGCTTCGATTGCATCTTCCACCGAGTCTGCGCCGGACACTACACTGTCCATGTACGTCTTCTTCTTTACAATGCGAGAGGCGATAGGAAAAAACTCACCTTCTTCCTCGACGAGCTGTATCAGGCGTAGGTAACGGTACACAGTTCCAGAACCCGTAGCTTCTGCGACGGGTGTGGTCTCCAGAAAATTCTGAGGAAACGTCGATCTTGAAGTGCTTGCAGTACCTGCCGGTACATCTTGGCAACGTCTCAAGAAAAGGCGATCTTGAACTTTCGGAAGCGTAGGACGATGAAATGCAGATCATTCTGCACCACAGGACCGACTTGCAGGACTTCGTTTAAAGACAGCTTTTCAGATGACGACTTGGCACTTGCATCGAACACGACACGATATTTTGTGCTCGAGTTGGACGGACGCAGTACAGCGTGATGTGGAAGATAATACCTCTGCTGGTTGGGAGGATCATCAGCTTCATTGATTTCACGGCAATGTCCGAGAACCTCGTACTCTCGAACGAACTCTACGTATTGCGCTTGTAGTTCGGGATTGTTCATCAGTCGTTTCTCCAGCATCAGGAACCTCTTCAGAGCTGAAGCACGGCAATCGACGCACACGAACTCGATTCACTTGCTATGCTTCGCGCACGATGGGCACCGGCAACAGCGGAAGCAGTTTGGTTTTGGCACTGTTTGCTAGCGTAGCTCGTCCGTTTTCCCCACTCGGAAGGCGTAAGGCAGTTCGATCCTTTTGGTAGCACTGGGCAAACTTTCGGGCGAAAGCTTCTTCAAACGGCTCGCTATCCGGTTCGTGATGGACCAAATTGATGTTCGGTCTGGGAAGGCACTTTCTCTTTCGGCAGTGGACTGTATCGGTAATGACTGTATCTAAATCAAACTCTTTGAGCTCTGAAAAGAGCTGGGGGGGGGGGGGGGGTTCAACGCTTGCTCCGAACCAGGGATGTGTGCTGGGTAATTATTCAAACGGCGACGGCTACGCTAGTAACTACTTTTATTCTTTACTTCTTTTCTTTACAAAGGTTTGCTTTCTTCTGCTGCTGATGCTTGCTCGTGGCCGGTCAAAAGGTAACTGAATTCAGTTTGCCTAATGGGTGCTACTTTTATAGAAGCGCGCTGTCTGCGCATGGTGATATGGACGTCGCTGATTGGTTAGTGTTGTTTGTCGCTGTTCGTCAGCGGCGATTGTCAAGATGGTTGGTTCACTTTCGGCGGAGACGGAACACCCATAAAATTGTATTCTCTACAAGTCCGGAATCAGCAAATTTCCATTCCCAGTTTTTTTTATATAAATTCTATGTTTAAAATCATGAAATATTTTCTATATTTTAAAATCATTAAATGTTTCTCGGACTGTGAACATACATTCTAACATATCTTAAATTATTTCACGCTTTCTTAATTTGTTTGAATTAAAGATAACGAATTACTAAGTACCAGCATTAAACAAAAAAAAAAATACAACTTTTTTGAAGATCGAGATTTTTCGAGAAAATTTTCCTCGTTCCAGAATAATGATAATTATTGATACGATCCAGAACACTTGTCTAGGTTCCAGAGTTATGAATCTCCTCTACCAGGGGAACAGTTTAAAGAGACGTTAATAGACGGAAGCAGAGTTATGAAAATTTGTTTATGTTTGAAGTTTTACAGAAGTTTCTATATTCTAGATCTTCAAAATTGCTTGTCTTAAAATTGACGAATTTGTCCAAGACGTTGAACATTTTTTTCTGCGTCTCAATATTTTTTTCAATTTCAAGATTTCCTTATAAATTTCTATGTTCAATCTTTCACATCCCGAAATTCAACCAATTTGCGATCTGAATCTAAATTCAACTTATTCAACGGTTGGTTTCCAAAAAATCGTGGCAGAAAAATGAGTACTGTGTGAGTATTTATTATCCAATTAATACTGATTTTACCGAAAACAAACTTATAAGATCCTTCAACCATTTGTTTTATAAAAAAAAACTTGTAAAATGCTCGTGGTGGTTTGAGAATTTATAATATTTGTCAAAACGAATCGCATTCAACGACAGATTAGATTCATATCTTTAATATCTTTCCGATCAATAAATGTCACTATTGGTCACTTTTTTATTGTTTTAAAGTCGCTATTTGGTCACTTTTTTCGTTATTGTAGTCAATACTATTGTATAACCCACTACCAGCCCTGCATATTGTAGAAAAATTCTGCTGACAAAATTGTATCATTATCTCTAAAGGGTTATTTTTGAACACCTTTTTTGTTTAAGGTAGAGTTTTTTTTTAATAACCGTGAAAAACCGGGAATTGAAAAATGGAATTTGAATGGACACCCTGATATATTTTTTTTTTTTCAATAATTTGTGACGTTTTAAATCTTATATTCAACAAATAAATCCGCAATCCTAATGCATCCCGAACTGTGCTCAAATGATGTGCAGCTAATCGCCGTTATTTTGAACCGAATTAATAAATTTCATAACATTTATCTTCATTAGATCCACGACGTCATCAGCACCCGTAAAATCAAGTACTACCATTACTGCTCGTACTTCGTCCACTGTGCCTCCAGCTAAGCCACGAACGGTACCATCCACAGTAAGCAAACCTGCCACATCTACAACAACAACGACTACAGTTACGAGTAAATCCAGTTCGAACGCTATCACCAAAAGGTTCAGCACCGTTGGGGTAATCATAGTAAGCTTAATATAGTACCAAATAAGAATTCACATTGTATTTTTTATAATTAGACTGCAGCACCTAAAGCACCGACTCCAACTGCAACAACCAAGACGACAACTGCTGTGAAGACCACCAATCCAGTTGCCAATCGTACATCTACGGTTTCAAAGCTGAGCAGCACTACTGTCACAGGAGTACGTAAAACTACAACCACATCGCCAACCAAGAAGCCAGTTTCATCGCCAGTTACAAAGACCACACCATCATCCATTAAAGCTCCTGTATCGATGAAAATTGCTGGTTTAAATCACACCAATGGCAAGGTTTCAACTGAAGTTGCCACTACCACTGATCTATTGGATCTCGACAAACAATTTAAAAACGATAACAATCAACTTATTACAAATAATGGCATTGAATCACAAATGATGGTGATCGACTCGGCCGGCGACTAAATTGTTGTTCCTTTTTGTTAAGTATCATTTTCATATTTTTTTTTTAAATTTTGTGACAAAATGTGTGCACGGCAATTAAACTATTATATATCGATCAAAAAAGCACAATAGAATCTTTATGATTATTACATTACACACAGTGATACTAATTAGTACATGTAGTCCTAAGATTCCGCTTTCCAGTACGTCTGGTTTAGCATTTGAAGATGCTTTTGTTTTTTTTTTCTAAACAATCAAATGGTAAACAAAAAACGAAGTGTTCAATTTAAGAAGACTAGGCTATTCAAGTAACCAGTAAGCCAGGTATATCAATAACTAGGCCATGCATGACTAATAAGCAGTATTTATATGGCCATTTTAGCGATATATAGTGGTTACTTGGATATTTTCTGATAGACGTAAAATGAAATTAGGTGGTGTCAGTCCAAAATGAAAAGCTTTCAGATCAATTTTCAATCGCAATGGTCTAAAATTATTTATTTATTTAAAACAGCTTAGTCTGTTTACTACTTGAAAAAAAAACAGGGTAGCGTCGGTTGGTCTCCTGGTACCAACAATAATCGCCCTCGACATGATTCCTTTGGTGACTTTGGTGATGTTCCTTTTTCTCATGTTTCGTACATGTACTAGAAATTGTGGATCATATTATTTAAATATTACTCAACTGCGATTCCTAATCAGCTTTAGGTGTTAGGTTAGTTGCAAAACAAGTTCATTGCAAATAGAATTAACAGAACATAAAAAACTACACGGAATTTCGCCAAAATGTTTTACTAGACCTTTTCTTAGATCACAGATTGGTTAAGCATAGAACATTGGATATTTTATTTGAAAATTTGTTCCATTTAACATTGATTCTCGACAATTTGCCTAAATTCTACGCACGTGTGGTCATTTTGTCGGTATGTTTTGGAAACATTGCAATTCTTCCATTTGAAATTTGCAATTTAAAAATGATAATGATGGATAAATGAACGCGTAAATGTTGTCGCTAATACTGAAAAAGTTCTTTCGCGTTTAGAATCACGGTAACCCAGGAAAGGTTGTAGGAAAAGTTGCAATTATCCATTTAATATAAAAAACGTTTTCTGGAACTATGATATTATGATCATATTTTTTAATTGCAAGTTACAAGAATAGGTTGCAAAGTATGTGCTTCTGTCAATTTCCCTTCTTGAGAGTCGAAATCCTCGATTTTACCATTTTTCACTCACTTATTCTGTGGTTATAAAATCGAAAGCGAAATTTACAGGTTTTATGTGTCAAACACATAGCAACCGCTTCTTGTAACTTACAAGTAAATCAAGTGATTTAATTATTCCGAAAAACATATTGTTCTGCGACATGAGCATTTGCAAACTGGGTTGTGTTGTAGGTAAAGTACGGCAAACTAACTGTTTTAGTGCTGCTTGTAACAGATTTTCAGCGATTTATATAGCTTGTAATAATTAATGTTTGATTGAAATATTTTAAATTCTTATTTAAACTATATTTATTATGATTGCAATTTCTACTCGAATCGTCTATGAATTTGATAACAATGTGGAAAAAGATGACACTTGCACAATTTCCAATTTAGTACCAAGTAGGTACCAAACAAAATCATACACATACGGTTTAAAGCTGACTGATAGTCTGTCGCGTTTGACATAAGGACGTTTAGCATAAGGACGGTTTTTGCATCACGAACATTTGGCATAATGGACATTTGGCATAATCGATATGATTCGATATATTTTCGGAACCAACAGCTAATTTACAATCTATGATTATTCCTTTTTTGAATGCTGATCTTTCTTTCTCAAAACCCAAACAGTTCTTCTGTGAGATATTAGGGCTTGGAAGGATAGCTCATGTTTGAAAGAAGGAAAAATCTGCTGCAACAATATTAGCCAAAGCTCATAACTAAAAATGTCCTAAGCGGTCACGCACAATCCATGAATATTCAAAAAAGGAAGTGTTTCCTTCCTTGTTAAATATTAGAAAGAAAGAAATTCTCTTCTTTTTGAAATATTAAAGAAAGGATTATTTATTAAATATTTGAAGAAGGACATATTTTTACAAGTCACTAGAACAACAATTCTATACGAGCAGCAATGAAAAGAAGTAAATCGTTGGTTGTAAATTAACTTTTAGCATCGCCGATTCGTAATGAATATGCCAAAGGCCGTTATGTCTAATGTTCATTATGCCAAATGTACCAGACCCGTAGCTTCCCTTAACGAAAATCCGAGCAAATTATTCAATTAGTGATGCGATCGACAGCATTTTATCAAGTATGAACCATGCATAAAGCTTACATGCACTCAACGTAAACTTTGCACTACATACTTATATTGTAGATCATTCGCAAATCGAATCCAACAAAACGAAACCTTTACAGCGAAGTCCTCTCATAGTAGATAAACGGTGTTTTGCAATATTGTGCTCATATAGTGGGTTTTTCTTTATTTATACATCAACTAGTAATTTATTTCAATAATAACGAACATTATCATCAAACAGACTAAGTTTCAACTAAATAAAAATAATATCATTCTTTGTCCCATCTTTGGATGTTTTTTAGGATAGTTTAAGAAAATGCTTGAAACACGCAAACCAACAATATCATCGGTTAGAAAAAATTCTCCCGATAGTGGTATTGGTTTGCGTGGGCGTTCTTCGGTTCGCATGGAAAGGACATTACAAGTTTTGTTTACAAAAGCTTTTGTGTCGTTTTCAAATGTTACGCCGGAGTTTATCAGCTAGTCTTACAATGTCTGTGTATCGAAAAACGCACAAAACGAATAATAACAACAGGAAAGCTGTAACACGAAACAAAGCAAACGACACCATTTAGGCCACTTTTGATTAATTTTCGCTTGCTATGTAAATGTGGTAATACTGCAAATAGTGAATATGGAAAATCATACTGAATGTCCACTTATGAATACACTCTGCAAAAATATGGTCACGTTAAACTAAATTAATTATCTAAAAAAAAAAGCATTTTTGACATGCTATAATTTGCGCATATTTTGTTGCTAGAAGTCATTAATGTTACTGTTTTATTCGTTGAACTTATAAAGGACTGCTACTATTACACGTAAAGTATCGACCAATTAATGCCCGTAGCTAATATTGAAAATCTTTTTCAAAAATAGTAATTATATTTGCAAATTATGCAAATATTCGCGTTAAATGGAACCATTCGAACAACCACTCAATCATGAACGGAAAATCAGAGAACCTTAGACTGGCAAAAGGACTACAAAATATTTCAGTTATCATATTACGACGATAGTGGATACAAATTTGTTGATGCTAGTAAGAGAAAAGATTATAATATTTATCGCTTGGTTGTGTATTCTTTAACATTTGAATTTTTAAAGAATGATTATTGGAACTGATATATAATTTAACACACCATTACCTTATAATAATAATGGAAGAATAATAACAATAATATACTTATGCTTGCAATTTTACTTTGAATGCATTAATAATGGAACAGAACGAAAACATCATAAAATGATCCATATAAAGAAACGTTTTTACTGTTAGTCAGTTGTAGAATAAACAGGATCAATAAAAAATGGCGATGATTCGACCGATTTTCCATTGTGTCTCTATCTTATTTTAGTGAAAGCCAACTTACAATAAAAGTCACATAAAACATCCTCAAGATAAAAGCTAGAAAGCTGTTCTAATGTCCGTCTCTCCTATTGAAAATAAACTCCTAATTATATTTTTCAATATCTTTGTCTCCTCTTTCTCTTACTTTTCTCTTATGCTCCTATAGTATGTAATATATATAACCAGTGCGGAAAAAGCCAAATAGGGTGTTTGCTTCGTAAGTCTCTCACTACTGATGGTTTTCCGAAAACCGGAGGTGAGCTGAATTATTGACTCTCAGTCATCGGAACATCTGACGAACAATCGGGAGCTGTTTGCAAAGGTAGTCCCAATAAAGCAGCCGATGCATATCTCTGTAGCAAAGGAGGGAAAGTCCTTCACTGCTATACTACCGATAAACGCATATCAGTCCCATCTTTGCTTGATTTCCTATCCATATGGGACTGATATGCGATTATGGGCAGTATAATTGCATATCAGTCCTTTATGAAAAAGTAGGCATTGAGAAAATGGCCGTTCTATTTTGCTGGATCTCAGTGAAAAACTTGCCGAGATTCAGCTAACAAACAGGAATTTTGCCGAGATCTCAGCTAACAAACAGGAATTTTGCCGAGATCTCAGCTAACAGCAACTAACATTCCGAAAAAGATCCGGACCCATCCGCGGAAATTGAGTTTCTTGACTTGAGTAATCTGTCTGGCACCGGTTTTGAAGACAGCTGTGAAGATGATATTGAGGACCAGCAAGCCACAATCGAGTCGAACAAAAGTGGTTCCTAATCAACCCATCAAAAGGAAAACGATGGATCTCAGTTAAATAAGACTGTCAATGTTCCTGTTGATCAGTTCAAGAACAAACAATTTCATTTCATCGGTGTGTTTTACGTTCGGTTGTTCAGATCACAGCATTTGGCGGATCCGGTTACTTCGAAGGATATGTACGGGAATTCTGTGTCAAGTTAGTTGACGTGCATCTGGAAAGCAGCCAGGGAATACGTTGCTCGGGAGATAGTAGTCTATCATACTGATAATGAACAACAAATCAGATGGTCTGCTAAGAATAATCCAGATGAGATTGATTTGGACAGATTTGTATTGTTGAAGCACGAAAAAGATAAGAAATTTTATACTATGGAGTACTACATTCGGCACGTAAACTACGTAGACAGTTTATGGGGGGGGGGGGGGGGGGGTTGACAATTATCCACGGACCATACAAATTTTAAAAATTTTGTATTGACAATTGTCTACGCAGGGGGAGAGAGGGGTCACGAATCCCAAAAAACTGTCTACGTAGTTTATTAACAGCCCCCAAGCTGCTGACTCATTCGAGAGGTTAACACATTCAGGTCCATGTGTACAAATACTCCTCCATTGCAACGCTAACCATGTGGGAGAAGGCCAGCAAACTACTACCAACCGCTGGAAACTAGCGATTTTAAATTGGCTCACTACTTGACTAGCCTATTGGTCCCAAGTACAGGTACTAGCGTACTCCATTCTAGTCGAAATACTATGTTTGTTTTGATTCGCTATGAAAGTTTGACAGATAAAATGAGGGGTTCGTGGATTTTCCTATGTTTCCTATGCATCGATTAGCGAAGATAGTGCCAGAGTTGAGCCAAAAAGTTGAGCACGTTTCTTCAGGATCTTCTGGTCTTATAGTTACCTCTGTGTTACTACTGCACCCAGAACGCAAGGATAAAGCTGGAGCTCCAGCAACGGAGGAAGTTTTTGACTGTGTCCATGAATTGAAAGAGATTCACTCAGATTACTCCGCACTATTCATCTTTAGGGTGGGCAAATTTTGTTCTTGCTCAACCAGCAGACCAACGTACAAGGTTGATGAAAGAAGGGACTCCGGATGAATAACTCCACTTGTTTTGTGCTGCTCCAATTTTTTAAGCAAATCAGCTTAAAGTTACGCGTCAAGGATTACATGTGGCTTACAATATTGCAGACGGAATTTTAGTAGTAAGTGGCTTGTGTACAAAAGCGGATTCAATGGCAGAGAGTATGAATCAAATCCAAAGGAAACTACACTGCCTCAAGACACAGGTGAGTTTTTCCCGCTCATTGTTGGATGCAATGCAAGATTCCTTACCGCCGGAGGAAACTGAATATGTAAGAAGCTGGCGTCTCTTTTTACCTACCAATTGATCTTAAATACATCACAATATTCTTGTCGTAATGTATACGTGCACCATCCATTATCCAGATCGAGTGTTTTTCAGGATATTTATGAACATTTCCACTATGGAGAGCCATTTTAACACAACAATCGAAAAATTTATTTCTTTTGAAAGTACCCTGTAAATAAGACTTTGGAAGCATTTGGCGGTTATCAAAGGAAACTTCATCCAAAAATACCAGCTTCTCTAGATCCCACTGGAAGCATTTCAGTTCATTGGAGAATCGCAAAACATCTTCCTCACGAATTTGTCACATATACACATCAAAATGTTCGACAAAAAGTACTTTACTTTAAATGATCTTTATTTTTTGTTTTTGTGTGGTTAACATGTATGAGTTCCTGATGAATGTGGGCGTCTTAGTGGAATACCTGTATAATGAGAGAGAGAAGGATTAGTATTTTCCATTTAATTCCACTACTTTATTTGCTTATCCTTGACAGATACGCGTATTTCGTCTACAATGTGCAGACTTCTTCAGTGTCTTGTACTAATACTCGACTGAAGAAAAACATCGCATTTACCGAATATATATTAACACAGGTACATTTTCACTTAGAAACTAGGTAAACTTAAATTTAATTTTCTATAGGAACAGGTACTCCGCTGCTTACTCGTTGATGTGTCCTAGGTAGTAACCTGAAAAGCCATGTGTGTCCGTTTCCTTGATCCCTGTTGAGTAAAGTTGAATTACGTTGTTTGTTGATCTCGAGGCTTTCTGCAACATCCAATTTCCATGGTGTAGATACGGTTCGTAAAATCGTGATGTCCTCCGTCGATAGTTGGTGGTCCTTTGTGAAGATGTGTTCTGCAACCTTTGATTTGAAATCATATGTTAGGCCTTTATCTTCTTGCTTTTTGGCCTTATTAACCTCCGCTATATGTTCTTTAAATCTAGTTGCTAAAGTTCTCTTGGTTTGTCCTACATATACTTTGTTACAATGATTACAGCTTATTTTATATACACCTGCTTTACCTAAAACATTAACTGGGTCTTTAGTGGATCCTAACAATGATTTCAACTGGTTATGTCTACTGGTGAAAACTAAATCTAATCCGAATTGTTTTAACTGTGGTCTTAGTTTACAAGTAATATCTTGATCAAATGGAACGGACACTCGTTTCAATGGTTCAGGTGCTGTGGTGAGGGTTGTAAATAATCTCCTTTGTAGAATTCTCGCTTTTTTATCGATGATTGCCTGGATTGTGGTCTCCTTGTATCCGTTGAGTCTTGCTGTTTCGAAGATGTACTGTAATTCCTTAACCTTTCCTGTATCGCTGAGTCTGCATTCGGTGAATCATGTGGTGAAAGGCGGCCATTTTCTGCTGGAACGAATGGTTGGAAGTATAGGGGATAACTCTTTTAGTGCTTGTTGGTTTCCTGTAAATTTCGTATTCAAGCGAAGAAGATGATGACGATTCCCTGATGACTAGAAGATCGAGAAATGCGAGTTTCCCGTCTTTTTCTACCTCGCGAGTGAATTTGATATCCTTATGAATTCTGTTGATCTCATCTAAAATTTGTGGAAGGGCTTCCCGTTTAACTACGCTGAAGATATCGTCAACAAACCTCCACCAACGGTTTGGTAATAGTCCTTTCTCCTTCAGGATTGTCTCCAAGTTGGCCATGAAAAGTTCACACAAGAAGGGGGATAGGGGGTTTCCCATTGGGGCTCCTTTCGTCTGCTTGTAGAAGTTACCTCGGAAAGCGAAGTAGTTCTCTTCCATACAAAGGCGGGTCAGCTTAAGGTACGTCCGAACCTTGTTTCTCCATGCTGCATCCTCTCGTTGTGTTAATAGCCAGTCCTCCAAATGGTTGATCGCTTCCTTGACCGGTACGCTGGGAAAAAGAGCTGTGACGTCGAAAGATACCATAAGCTCGTCCTCGTTGATGTCTCCTGAAGATTGTAGTTGCTGGGTGAACTCCTGGGTGTTACTAACTGCTTTACTCTGGAACTGATTCGGCATACTCTGGAACTCTTTGACTAGCCACTTCGCTAGTTTGTGGGTGGGGGAACCAACTGCAGACACGATCTCTCGCATTTCATTTCCTGGTTTGTGGACTTTGGGAAGACTTTTGATCCTGGGTAGAATGGGATTGGGTTCCCGTATACGACCTGCTCCATCTCCTAATATCGATTTGCACTCCTTCAGTGCTTTCTCCACGCGTTTCACTATGTTCTGTAAGGGGTCTACTCGAAGCTGTCTATACGGTCCGTTGTTAATCTTCGTTGTCATTTGATTATCGTAATCGTCCTTGTCCATGATAACGACCGCGTTTCCCTTGTCTGCCTTTACGTAGTATACTGCTTTACTTTTTAGCTCCTTTACAATCCGAATTTCTTTTTCGTTGGCGCGTCCGTCCTGTCCGTCCTTGATTATGTTCGATGTGATAGTCCTAACCGTATTCTGTGATGTTGTTGGAAGCGTCTTGGTAATCGCTGTTTCTACGTCAATGATGATCTGCTCCACGTCTGGCTTAATTACTATTGCAGTACGTCTGGTTAAATGCTATTGCAGTACATTTTTTTACGTTCAGTTGAAGTAGACTTTTACTACACCAGGTGTGGAATATATTGATTTCATTCTAGAAATCTTCTGCATCGCTAGAATTACTTATTTCCATAAAGAGCTTCATGGCGTCTGCATATACAAGCAATT